CGAATGATAATTCATTTTCACAATCACTGATACTAAAAATGTAATTAGTATACTATAGGTAATCGTATGAATGCGAATGCAATTAGGGATTTGCACTACGAGGGATATTGGAGAGTTCTCTCAAAACTGCACGAGTCTTTAGGCGAGTGCAATGTGAAAGAATTTTCAAATATCACGGAGTAGTGTAAAGCCTTCATACAATTACTCATTTATCAGATGACTGAGAAAACTGAGAATGCGCGCGCGTTGATTTGCACTACAGTGCAAATAAAGAATTAACTATAAATTGGCCTGCTCTCAGCCAATCACAAGGAAGAAATTTTCTCTGTCAAATAACAACTGTTGTAATTTCAACATAATTCGTTTTGTCCCACCACTGCACAAGTATCGCATTAACCTTTGATCATCTATTCATTGAACATACATCCTGCATCTTTGGACATGAAAAGGCTGTTTGCAGTTGCCTATTATTATTTTTATTCGTATAGGTAATCACACGGTTTTTCTCGTTCAATTTGGAATTAATTTGCACGAGTGAGTTTTTTAAAAAGCTGAAATTGCACGAGTCACTTGGGCGAGTGCAATTTCAGCTTTTTGAAAAACTCACTCGTCCAAATTAATTCCAAATTGAACGAGAAAAACCGTATGATTACTTATTAATAATATAAACATGAAACAATTTGCCTGGAGGAAGTGCCGGAAGACCTTTCTTGAAGCCATTTTTTCTCATTCGAGAAAACTTTTTTCAAAGTCTCTGCACAAATTTTCGTCATCATTTTAAGTAATATCATTGGCTTCGAAAATTTCCTATTGTCTTTGAGCCAATCATAATTCAGAATTACGATGTGTAATTTGCACTGGTGTTACACTTTTTGCACCGGTGTTACACTTTTTGCACTGGTGTTACACTTGAACTGYACTGCTCTCAGCCAATCAGAATCGAGTAATTTTTTCATGTATATTTTTATTTTAATTATTGCATAAACATACAAGTTACATTCGCACGTACTTCATTTTACTTTTCCACATCGCACTTATTATGCTATAAAAAGCCTACTTTTCAACTACGACCTACGGTAGAGCACTAAAATTACTTACAATACTACTGACTAGACATACTCTTCCTTATTGCTTGTACGAATATCTCTTTTGTTAACTCATCAAATTGATTATCTTGTCTCCTTTTATAGAAACTTGTCAAAGTATGAAGAAGAACAGAAAGGTACCTCTAAATGATAGCCGTTTCGTCTTGTTGCTTTCGTGAATTTACATGATATATGAATCTAAACATTTGTTTTGGTTTATTCTTTAGGGAACCAAAGACTAGTAAATGAACTAACAGAGAAATCAGTGGAGTCTGCAGCAGACCTGGTAAAACTGAATCCGCCTTTTGTTTTTTAGAGTGACACCAATCCAAAGAAATCTAATTATTTTTTCGTGTTGTATAATGTATTAAACGGACAGTTGAACTGAATAGAATAATTTTTAGTGCTAAATGTAAACTTGCCAATCTGGATAAATGGAAGAGTGATTCGTCCTTTACAGTGAATAAAGTTATTTTGTTGTGAAAAGTTTACATAGAGATTGATATAGGCTGCAAGTCTCTGAGAGCTACAGGTTTGTCAGTAGATGATACTGTTATGTGCCACCCTTGTAGCACAAAGTCGATTCCTTTGTTGAAAATTCCAAAGCTTGGCTTGTGTTAGTCTTATTAAGTATCGTCTTAGAGGGAGAAAAGCACTCAATGAATTTACATGACAAATCTAGTCTGCTGGTAGTCTTACTCGCAGGCTTCAAAGAAATTCCTTTATTATGACTTTTTGCCAATTATTTTCTCCTTTATTACCACTTTCCTGAACCTTCAGGCAAATCAGCTAACCGTCGTGTTCTGAAGCTTTGTTGTAATAGTAAGAAACAAACCAATGAAAAGCTGGATCTTGATGTAGCTTGTAGGCAAACTAGAATCCCGTTATCTTAAATTTTTTTTCATGTTGTTAGTTAAATTTACAAGATCAGCTGAAACAAATGGAGAAAAGTACCAAGTCCAAAGAGAAGTCTTGGAAGGAATACAAAGCTAAGATGGAATCCAGATTGAATGATGAGGTACAAGTGAAGCAGTATTATGTGCTGGATTAGCTGCAGTGATGACTCTGTGATACAGCGTCGTGCTATTGTAATAATTATTTCAAACCTCTGCCAAAGTAGAAAAGATTCACTGGATTTCAAAGCCACTTCCTGGGCTTTCTGTTACGCTCAGCTAATGAGAGTAACTTCATTTGGCAAAGGCTATTATTACAAATATTCAGATGTGTTGAAGAGGCCATGTGATTATTTCACATACTCTTATTGCTTGTGTGGTCAATGCAAAATTCAGGCCTGTCATCTGCATATACGACAGTCTCGACTTGGTTAAAATGCATCGTTGCCGAATTTTATGGGCTTTGCTTTATCGATGAAACGACAAACATTGACGTTTTGTGAGTACCTGCCTGATGCAAACGTCAGTTGTTAGCTACCTAACGTAACCACAGACGGGTAACTGTCTAAGTAAGTGTAATTTCTTTGAGTAATGTTTGCTTCAGGTAATCCAGAACGCCATATTATACTTAAGGGTGTCGTCCTGCAGTACCTCTTCACCACACACTTTCCTCTTGCTCTGAATTGAACCGAAATCATGTACTTTTAAGTGTACATTGTATCTTTTACCCTGATGGTATCGATAGTTTGAGTTATACCGAAATATTACAACACGACTGTTTGCATTATGTTGTCTACATATTAGACACAATGTATCAACTCAGAATAACATTTATCCTGTGTTTATTTAGATCAGTTATCAGCAGGCAACGGGTACCGAATACGTTCACAGAAGAGGATATGTTGCTGTAACACATCCCTGTATTTCCTTTTGTGCGTACATACTGCTCTATGCAACGCGAGAATTACCTGTCTGGTTCAGTATTTGGACGCCCTGGCTGGGGGACGACCTCCAGGGTTGAAGGGGTCGCCCAGCCAAGTTAGCCGAAAAGGGTTCAGTGTTAATTGCCAGCATTTAGAAGTTTTCACATGCTATAGCATGCAATTAGCATGCGTTGCAGGCGTAAACGGAGAAGGGGTAGGGAGGGTAAAAACACGCCCCCTCCGTCTATACCCGCTCTCCCTCTCCCTCCCCCTCTCCTCCGTTTTACATGTAATAGGCCTTGCGCTAATGTTTAGGTACATTGTTTTGCGCCTACTTTCCAGTGTCAGAAGCGACTAAACTATCAAAAGCTATATGAAGAAGCCCTGACGAATCAGTCTGTGTTAAATCAAGAGATAGCTGACTTAAAACTTACTTTACAACAAACACAACAAGGTATTTCTTTTCTACATTGTCACTGTCGCGTACTGTTATCCTCATTAGTTCGAAATGCTTTGCTGTTGTTACAGGTAAGTGTCCTATCCCGTTTACAGTACATGGTTTGAACCCAGGAGTATCATTAGTTCGTCTTGTGTGATCATCCGGATGAGGGTAGTTCTGAAAAGAACTGTTGTTGGTGACTGACGTTTCGACAACCTAAGCGGAAGAATTTCAGAGTCAAGGGAATAGTGTTTGTCAGTCGATGATGTTACAAGAGTGGTCCGCTGTAACGGACTGGCGGGACAGTTTAGCTGTGATAGCATTGGATGAAACAGTCGTGTAAAGTTTGTCAACAGTCGTTGGTCGGTTTCGATCCGTCATTTGCTAGCCAAATTAAGTTAGTGTTCCAGCTTTCCAGAGTCATTCGTTGAAACTAGTTTGTACTGTAGGTTAAGCATTGAGCAAATATGATTGCAATTTTTTCGACACTCCATCCTTGGGGTTTAGGTTTAAACATTCATTACAACCAGAGTGTTTTTCGTTGCACTTCACCTTTGGTCCGGTTTTTTTTCCGTTTCGCTCTACTACCGTTTTCCGTCCTCGCTACACAACATGGCGTCCCCCTGTTTAGCTAGTGTCATCAGAGCGTTAAAAACGTGAGTAGGAAACAATGTAAGTATGTATAAATAAACGTAAATATGTAATTTGCTCACCCACGGAGCACCAAGGAGTTCACAAGAACTCGTTCAGAATCGAATCGAATCGAATCGTTCCAGAATCGAATTGGAATTTGGAAATGTTGGTTTTTGAGGAGAGGAGAAAAACGGAGTACTCGGAGAAAAACATCTCGGAGCAGAGTAGAGAACCCAACAAACTCAACCCACCGATATGACGCCGGGTCCGGGAATCGAACCCGGAACACATTGGTGGGAGGCGAGCGCTCTCACCACTGCGCCATCCCTGCTCACCAACAACAGTTCTTATCAGAACTACAGAAAATGCAGTGTTTAAACTGAGTTTGGTTGTTGATATTTGTGTTTGACATACCTGTAATGTGAAGCCAGACGTTGATACCAAATTTCAAGTTTTGAACCAAGTTACAGCTTCGTTATAGAATTCAACAGACCGGACAAATAAAACGATGATATCACAAAATGTTAGTTCCGTTATAATTGAAACTGATATGTATACCCTGAAGTTTGTAAATACTGTTGTGCTACAAGGAAGGGCGTACTGTGTAAATTTGTAAGGAAGAGAGAAGTGTATAATTTGTTTAGTTTAAAGGGTTTCTCACAACTGCAAAACCGCTTTTTTTCACCTTAGTACTTGACATGGAGCTAGGCAGAAGAAGAGCGAACTCATTTCCTCGGTGAGTACATTATGTATATCATTTACAGACGAAGTTCGCATGTCACTCATTTATTGTTATTTTTTTCAAAACGTAGGACAAGTCTTAGTATTTTAAGGTTTGTTTGCGCTATGCTTTCAGCCTCCGGGACAGGCAATCGAACGAAAAATCGAATTCACCCAAAAATAATTGGACAATCGAACGTTTGATTTCCGAACTCTTGATTTTTGTAAAACTGTCGTTGAAAATCAATGACAAGTTTTTCTAGGCTCGAGTTCCGGCTTCGGTAGAACACGAATTTATTCACCGCACACAATTGAACGCAATCCATTGGATTGTGTTCGATTCAGTTCGGTTGCCGAACTTAATCGAACAGTCTAATGGATTGAGTTCGATTCGTTCGATTGAGTTCGATTGGTTTAGGAATCGAACTCACACAAAGTTAGGTGTTCGATTTTGATTGCCGAACGTACGTTCCATTGATTATGCCGGGAATATAGTCGATAGATCACAGAATTGCATGGTCTATTTTTTAAATTCTTCCTCTATTGCTCAATAGCCTGGATTCTTTAACAAACGAAGAAGAGTCCCCTGCGTCACAGACAACCCAGCAAGGTGATGAAAGGACATTACTAACAAACACTGCTATGGACGAAACCAGTAGCACGATTGTTATGATAGCTCAGAGCAAGATGCTGTTTGATCGGCTGGAAGTAGAGGCCAAGGTGGGTTTAGTAAATTATTTGATATTTTTAAAGTTTGTTACGTCTTGTACTACAAGCCTAAGGTAATGTAACACTGCTATTAATGGTGCGATCTGAGCCCTCTTTATCATGCTTACTCGACTGATGTTCAGAGCTTGTTTGCTTTTCATGATTATTTTAGATTTCTGAACACCATTGTTTCAATGAATGTTTTCCTGGTGTGTTGCAGGAATTAGAAGAGTCCTATCAGAAGTTCCAGTCACGAATAAATCAAATGGAACTCGATGTCTATCCTACGATTCGCTCCCTGGATTTACAAAATCCCACTCAAAGCTCAATCGAAAGCACTTCATTTGAATAAAAAAACACTTGCATGTAACTATTGTCCTGATTGCTTTACGTTTACCAGAAAGTAGCAATAAGACAATAAGGGGAAATCCTTTTCCCTTTCGCACCTCTCTCGCTGTGGGCAAAATTTGAAATGTCTGCCTTGAGGATCCCAAAAACGGTGCTTTTAAGCATGTTTAGTAAATGCCAGACTAATGTTAATGTTGTCAATGCCCTTATGGTATAGATCGTTTTCACTGTCACGCAATAAAAACATAAATCGAAAACCATCCAGTGGAAAAAGCTATGAACTTACGATGTTATAGAAGATAACTAAACAAGACACTTCTCCAAGTTTTAGGCATGTGCGTTTCCCCAAACTTCAGATATTCGTCGAAATGTTTCGCAGATATTTGCAGAGCCCAGTATGAAAACGCC